TGGAGAGAGCAATCTAGATGTACTTCACCGGTACGGAGTGGAGGAATTTGGAGACCGCCTCTTCTTCGTCGTTGATGACACCGTGGCTCCTCAGCTTGCTGATGAGCGACTGTAGGCGGAGGGAGAAGTCCTCCACGGACTCACCATCCTTGAACTTGAGGTTGGCGTACTCCTGCTTCAGTAGCTAGGTCGTCGCCTTCTTTGCACGATCAGAGCCAACGCGCATCGCTGCAATGGCCTCCCATGCCTCCTTAGCAGAATTCTTCGCCCCCAGCGTTAGCGGACCGCAGTGGCAGGCACCTTCGCCGGATTTGGAATTGGGGAAAGCCATCGCTAGAGGGTAGTGGAGAAGTAGGAGGCTTGATAGCGGGAAGAGTTTTGCTGACATGTGGGTTCTGTTTGTCGTGTTGATGTCAATACATAATCAACATGCCACATCAGTGACAGAGTGAGTCAAAGTCTATTTGGACCAATGCTAACACCCGGGACAAGTTTAGGATCTTGATGACCTCACTTTACAAGTTCAGGTACCCAAATATCAAAATTCAGGAAGTGGGGCCTATATGACACCATTGTACGAGTTCGGTGACTCAAATATCGTCGAAAGTTTGAACCTAAATAACACTGTTCTACAAATTTATTGGCTCAAATATCAAAATTCGAGAGTTAAGAACCTAGATGATATCACCATGCAAGTTTAGAGACCATTCATGAATTTTACTCTAATATCTCGAAGAACCCCCTTAATTTCATCCGTTACTTGAAACCTAGAGGGCATCATATGTAATAAACTTGATTTGGAGTATTAACGTGAAACCAGAAATCACGTTGACACTAGAAAAAATATAAATAAAAAACAAAAAAAATATATTTAAAAACATAAATATATATTCATTAGTTCCACAAACTCTAATATCAATGATGATAAATAGTGGATCTAACTTGCTTCTAATTTTTTTCGCAAAAAAAAACCTTGCTTCTAAATTTTCCACCTTTGCTTTTATGAAAACAACATAAACTAATCCTCTAAATATATACATCTAAATTATCAATCACCCATTATGAAGGAAATCTAAATTAACCCTCTAAATTTAAATCTAAATTATCACTTTTATTGTTGTATACCCCCTCCGATCCATTTATCTGGCGCAAGTTAGAGTGACACCGTCTCCTAGATTACACTTTGATCATTCATTTGTTTTATGTTATATTATTTATGCTTATAAATTTAAAATAATCATTAGGTACTATAATTTCTTACAAATCTAATCCTATAAAGTTTGTATTATAATAGTTAAAAAGTATTAGCCTAATTACTGGTCCAAGTTTTTAAAGTTTGAATCTTGATATGCGTGTGCGCCAGATAAAATGGACTAGAGGGAGTAAAAGTTATCTAGAGTAGTCGTCTAAATTCAATACTAAAATAAGCTAAATACCCCCTAGATCTATGTCAAATTCCATGGTGCTATTATTATGGAATAAAAAACTAGGAAATACCTATATATATGAATCAATATTAATAATATATAAAAAATACAATTCAAAGTAAGATCCATGTTCTGTGCAATCACGCAGACCAATATCCATAAATGCATGAGTGATAGGTATATATATTTTCATAGCTTAGTAATCATCAGAAAACGTTTCTTGACTCTTTGGGAGAAAACATTGTTGTCTAGTGTGTCAACATTTTTAGATAATGAAAAAGCAATTGTAGCTTCAACATATTGTGTCTTGGAAAAAGCATCACCTCAGGCTATTACAAAATACTATTAGCCCAGTTTTCGAAATCCATGTATTAGAAACAGTGTATACTAGTTTTATCCCATAAAATTTTGATAATATTTCTCTTTATATATATTGAAATTATATTGAGTTGGTAGTTTATTTTAATGCACACAAAACTCACACTCAGACTGAGAAATCACTAGATATGGAAGCATCATTTAACTCATGAACGGAAAACCAAACGAGCACTTTCACAGAGACTTCTCCATATATTTTCCTACCACCATGATTTAAATATTAGATAAACTTCAAGAGACTCTTTATATCCTTTCTTATTAATAGGAATAGAGATTTTTAGTAAAAAATGTCCTCTAGCAACTTTTTTAATTAGATCTCTAAATATTGTTGTTCCCTATTTTGAATTTCTTGGTAGCCAAAAGATGGAGAGTGAAATTTACCCTCTACAATGCATACAAGATAAAGAAAAGTTTTTAGATGTAGGAAAGATATAAAGAATATTTTTTTATTCGTTAAAAACCAAATAATAATTTAGAGAGCCAGTTTAAGACTTTTGGATATACTTATGAAGATATCAAAGAGTCTTTCCTAAGTTCACTCTCTAAACTCTCTTGAATCATTACATTTAGATTTCATGGCAAGCCTCTAATCAGTCTCAAGTTTTTAAAAAGTCATTTGAATAAAAAATGCTCTCTATATTTTTTCACTATCTGATAGCTTTTTTTATATCGCACGTATTTTAAAGAGTCAATCTCGCATTTCATTTTTAGGTAACGATAAATTTAAAATAGTGGATGACAACATTTTTAAAGAATCAATCAAGCTTTTTCATGGTTATATGAAAAAATATAAAAGAACTGTCGGAGTTGCCGGTAATTGCATGCATGCAAGTCAAAACAAAAAAAAGGAAAGCAATAAAGAGGCAGGAAGTTCCATGGAAAGAGCACCAGCACCACAGCCTCGGAACAGGCGCTACCTAATTTTTTATAATTTTTTTTTTTTAAGAAAATTTATATTTAACTTTCTGATAGACTTAAATTTATCTTTATATCTTTGGGGTCGACGTCATAAGTCGTGAGTCTCGACAATATAGATCTGGACTCCAAGTGTTTGGTCGTAGAAAATTTTTAAGTGACATTGACGTAGCCGATATCCAACGCCATAATACATGACGCTCAGCTCGAGACCGCAGATCTCGACGTCCATCACATAGCCCGACTGCATATCTCCGCTGTGTGCGCTACAACTAGCCTACCATCGTACTCCTACCCCTAGTAGCAGGAGTAGCAGAGCGCGTGAGGCGCGGGGGAGGAGAGGGCAGCAGCAGCAGACAGCGGCGTAAATGCTGGCATCTGGGCGCCGGATTTGTCGATGCCAAATCGTGTCACACTCACACACGGCTTGCTTTGCTAGCAGCTCTGGCCCTATAGCTTGGCTGCTGCTGCTGAGGGTAGTGCTAGGCTTCGCCACTGCCGGTGCGGCTGCTGCGACTAGTCGACTGCTGTCCACTGCTGCTGCAACTGCTGCCTGGAGTAGCGCGCTAGCTCTACAAGGAGTACACTGGTCACCGTGGTGCAGCTCCAGTTTTTTTTACTCGCCCGCGGGCGCCTACACAGATTATTTAACTGAATTTAAATCTGATTAAAATTAAATATCTTAGATTATTTAACTAAATTTATAGAAAATACTATTTAGATTGTAAGTTTTTTTACTTTCTCTTCGTCACATCAAATCTTTGAACACATGCATTGGAGTATTAAATATAGATAAAAAAATAACTAATTACACAATTTTATTGTAAATTACGAGACGAATCTTTTAAGTCTAGTTAGACCATAATTATACAATAATTATCAAATACAAACGAAAATACTACAGTACTTAATACTAATTCCTAGCTACAGTCTAAACAAGACCTAACATGTATTCCACGAAGAAAACTGGAGCTGCACCACGGTGACCAGTGTACTCCATGAAGAGCTAGCGCGCTACTCCAGGCAGCAGTGGACAGCAGTCGACTAGTCGCAGCAGCAGCACCGGCAGTGGCGAAGCCTAGCACTACCCTCAGCAGCAGCAGCCAAGCTATAGGGCTAGAGCTGCTAGCAAAGCAAGCCGTGTGTGAGTGTGACACGATTTGATATTGAGGCTGTGCTTAGTTGGAGGAAAAATTAGAATTTGGATACTTTAGCAATTTCGTTTTTATTTGATAAATAATGTTCAATTATTGATTAATTAGGCTCAGAACGTTCGTCTCGTGATTTCCAACTAAACTATGTAATTAGTTTTTTTTCTATCTACATTTACTACTCCATACACGTATTGCCAGATTTGATATGACATATACTGTAGCACTTTTTTGAAATATTTTTCGAACTGAACACGCGCTGACAATTCCGGCGCCCAGATGCCTGCTGCCCTCCTCCCCGGCGCCTCACGCGCTCTGCTACTCCTGCTACTACTGTAGGAGTACAGTAGTAGGAGACCTGCAGTCAGGCTACGTACTGGTAGAGTCGAGCGGCGGTGCGGAAATCGGCGCTATTAACTATGACGTCGAGATATGCGTCACATCAACACCACTAGATTGCTGCTGTAGACGGCCAGACATCTCAAAATCAAGATTTAAGGTGTCCAGACGTGTTACGTCGGTGGCTCTCACCCCTAAGCTACGTAGATGAATTTAAATCTCCAAGAGGAACACACGTAAATTTTCTTAACAAAAAGGATTAAATTGTAAAAAAACTGGGCAGGCGCTAGAGCCGAACAGCTGGATCCAGTCCATTTCTGTGATTCTGCCTCCTCGGCTTCGCTTCTCTTCATCTTCTGTCTCAGGTCTAGTTTAGTTTGCAAAAAACTTTACAAAATTTTTCATATTTTCCGTCATATCGAATCTGCATGCATGAAGCATTAAATATAAATAAAAAATAAAACTAATTACACAGTTTAGACGAAATCCACGAGACAAATCTTTTAAGCCTAATTAGACTATGATTGGATACTATTTGCCAAATAACAACGAAAACGCTACCGTACTTATTTTACAAATTTTTTTTCATCTAAACAAGCCCTCAGTATAAATCCCCCAAACAGTCGCACTGTAAATCTACAAACATCGGCGCGAGGTTTTTCAGTGGAGGTAAGCAACTTTCCAAATTCCAATCTTCTTGGATAATGAGTGTTTCTTGCTGCCTGATATTGATCGAACAACCTTGTAGTTACCTCATTCTAGGTGATAAAAGATGACCAGGAAACAGACCATGGCCTCCTCTGCTGCTGGCACTGCAAGTGCAAAGAAGCCGAGGACGACGAGGAAAGCGACCAAGGCCAAGGACGTGCCGGTGGTGGTGGCGTTGGAGGATGAGGAAGAGGAACAGGCAGCTCTGACACTATCCGTGGAGAAGGACACGCTGGACTGCGACATCTGCTGCTTACCCTTCCAGTCTCAAGTTTTCATGGCAAGTTCAAATTACCTTGCATGTACATCTGTTCTTATTCGTTATCATCACATACTCACAATTTATACTTGCGCACGTTTTCTTCTTTATACCATGCATACCAGTGCAAGAACGGGCATTCTGGGTGTGCCAACTGTTGCCTTCGCACGAATGGCAAATGCTGGACCTGCCCCGAGCCCATCGGCGACATCCGCTGCCGGCCGCTCGAGAAGCTCCTGGCGGCGGCGACCACTTCCTGCAAGTTCAAGAAGAACGGCTGCTACAAGACCGTCAGGCTCACGGAGAAGCTGAGGCACGAGGAGACGTGCCCGCGCGCGCCGTACGACTGCCCCGTCGACGGCTGCACCTACAGCGGCCTGCGGCTCTGCCACCACGTCGCGCAGGACCACGGCGGCCCCGACGGCTTCGCCGCCATCAGCGGCCTCCGAGGAACCGCGGTGACCGTGCACAGGGACGCGCCGTTCCGCGTGCTGCTGCAGCGCGACAGGGAGCGCGTGTTCCTGCTGCTCAACGGGGGCGACCTCCTGCAGGGGCGCTCGCTGTCCCTGCTCTGCCTCGGCCCGCGCCCCGAGGGCGGCGTGGAGCTGGAGTACAACATGGAGGTGGGCGGCGCGCCGGGCGGCGAGCTCTCGCTGTCGGCGTCGGGCACCGTGCCGTGCGCCCGGCGGCTCAAGGGGTTCCAGGCCAAGGGGTTTCTCTTCGTACCGGATGCGTACTGGGGCTCCTCCGTCAGAGTTCGTGTCTGACGTCGCCCCATTGTTGGTGGACAATAATTCCCTAGTGGTCAGTTGTTCGTCCTGTCGTTGTTATAGTGAGTGCTCCTTATCATGGTCGTGTTCATACTTATGGGTTCCCTATCTACTAGCCATGGTCGTGTTCATGTGTACTTGCCATGGTCGTGTTCATGAGTTCCTTATCTACCGTCGCACCATACGTGCTGGTGCAAGTACTTTTGTCATGTGCATCCAAACCCTAAGTGGTCAGTGGTTTTGAGAGTCGCTACAATACATATTTCACGTGTTTCCTCTGGTTCATTACTATTTATCATAGCGACAGGAGTAGCGTTCGGATGCTCGCGGCTGCTTCGTTTCCCGCCCGTGTAGTCAGCGAACGGCACGTACCTTAGCTTGCTGAAGGTCCACCACGTGAGCATCGTGCCATGTTGGCCCACTCAGGGGTCACCACCTCCGTGCGCTCGTGGGGCCACCACATCTGCAGGCATTGTGCTCGTCGGGCGTACACGTCATCGCGCTCATCGAGCTCGAACTGCCGTGTCGAGATTGAGGGAAGTGAAGGGAGGGGAGGGAGAGGAGAGGGCGAGGCGCACCGCACCGCACGAGGAAGGAGTCGAAGCCCTACGATAGGCCAATCTACTTTTTGAAACATTCAGATAGAATATTTGCAACATACGTCTGAAGTCAAATGAAACACTTAAAACATGCGTCCAAAACACTTGCAGAAAAAAACTTAAAAAGTCATTAAAAAACATATGAACATCCAGAAAAACACTTGCAACATATGTATAAAACATATGCAACATTTAAATAAACACACTTACAACATACGTCAGGAAAAACAAATGAAACATTTGAAAAAATATTTGCAACGTACGTGTATAGCCATTGTAATATATGCAATATCCCGATCTACTTTTGCAACGTCCATAGAAACACTTCTAACATACTTCCGAAATATTTGGAACATGCGCTTTTACCTTACCCTAGCAGACGAGTGGGCGGGCGGAGCACCACACAGTGGGATCCGGGGCAAGGTCGCGGCGGAGGATGGAGGAGCCGCGACGCCACGAAGGAAGTGGGGCCCGGGATAGAGATGCGCTCAGGGCCCACTGCGCCGGCACGGGAGGAAGGAGGATGGAGAGATGAGGGCGCGAGGGAGGTGGAGAGTGCAGTGTTGTGGAGCAGTGTGGAGAGGAGCTAGGATGGGACACAGAGGAAGGCCGCTGAGATCGCCGCCTTGGAGGTCGGTGCGGGCATCGAGGCTATGGTCACGAGAAGAACTGCGCAATGAGTGATTGCATTCATTCTGTTTTTTAGATGGACCATGAGGAGGAATAGGACGGGCTGGTCCGCCGGTCCAGGGAGGCACGTTCAGACGGAAGGACGTCCTCATCAAATCCCCTATTTGCTTGAACTTACCAGCCTGCCTTATACAATTTTTTTTTCTCTCACAACAAATTCACGAACAATACTTTTTAGCCTGGCTTTTCAGCGAAACGAGCAGGTCATCCTATTCCCTATATATCAGAGAGTGGAGTGTCACAAAATATTGGATTTCCTATTGTTGATTAAAATTTGATCTTATTTCTCGTATGGAGAGTGGTCATGCATACGAATCACCGGTATGTCTAGTGTTGGTGGATATACATCAGTGTGAAAATACATCCATTCCATACCGATCAGGTCTTGCAACACAGTATCGTACTGCCACATGCGTGAGACATCCAGACTAGCGATTTCTTTCCCCATCACCTCTTGATGACCTGGAGGGTAGTTCATGTTCATCCAAATGAGATGCCATTGCTAGCCACAGTCTAGGTCAGTCTACAAATCCTAAAGCAGCCAACAATGGCAGATGATGGTACGGTATATATTTCATACTTTCATGGTGAATTGGTTCATGTTTGTTCAAAACTAGCGGGCTTTAATTTGGAAATAACATGCCGATCATCTTCTTCAGCTCCGTGAACCGAAGAAGGCCGAGCAGCTTGGTGAGGACGTCCACGAGTTACCGACCAGTTTCGACGAACTCGATGATGATCTGCCCTCCATCGACACAGTCTCCGAGGAAGTGGAACTTGACGTCGGTGTGCTAGCTCTAGTCGTGGAGAACTGGATTCTTCGCGAGGGCGATGGCGGGCTGGTTGTCCATCATCAGTGCTGGTGGGTGAGCTTCCACACCGGTCAACTCGCCCAACAGCCAGCACCGCCACATAGTTTGGCATGCCGCTGTGGCCGTCGCCACGTACTCTGCCTCGCACGTGGACAGCGCCACCACCTTCTGTTTCAGCGACAACCATGAGATTGGAGCCGACCCGAGGAAGACGAGCACTCCAGAGGTGCTCCGCTGTCCGTCGATGTCCTCCACCATGTTTAGATCATTGAACACAGTGAGCTGCAGCCTACTTCCACCGGTCTTGGGGAAGACGATCACCTGATCTACCGTCCCCTTGACGTAGCACAGCAACCGCTTCACCGCGGCCCAGTGATCCTCTCGGGAATCCTCCATGAAGCGGCTGACGTAGCCCACGGCGAACGTAATGTCCGACCTCGTGTGGACTAAGTAGCGCAGACCGCCGATGATGCTCCGATAGAGTGTTTCATCTACCTTCGCCGCGGTACTGGCCTTCGTCAGCTTCAGACGCTCCTTCATCGGAGTCACACATGGCTTGCACTCAGCCATGCCGCTCCGTTCCAACAGCTTCGAGGCATACGCGCTCTGACCGAGCGTGAGCGCCTCCTTCCCCTGTCTCACCTCGATGCCGAGGTAGTAGGAGAGTACGCCGAGATCGCTCATTCTAAAACGAGCCGCCATCTCACGCTTGAAGCTATCGATGTCCTCCGCACGCGTGCCGATGTCGATCAAGTTGTCCACATATATGCCGACGATGAGCTCCTCCTCCCCCCGTCGCCGTGTGTAGAGCGCGTGCCCGGTTGCGCACCGTGTGAACCCAAGCTCATCCAGCGTGGCTTCAAGCTTGGCGTTCCATGCTTGTGGGGCCTACCGTAGGCCGTAGAGCGCCTTGCGCAGTCGAAGCACCCTGTGCTTTGCTCCCTTGACGGCGAAACCCGAAGGTTGCCTGACGAAGACCGTCTCCGCCAGCTCACCGTTGAGGAAGGCCAATTTTATGTCCAGGTGATGGACGCGCTAGTCCTTCGCTGCTGCCGAAGCCAGCAGCAGTCGGATAGACTCCATGCGCGCTACCAGCGCAAAGACTTCCTCGAAGTCGATGCCCTCGCGCTGGACAAAGCCTCGGGTGACGAGGCACCACTTGACCTTGTACAACCACTTCAGGCCGATCGGACGGCATCCTAGAGGTGGATCGATGAGCTCCCAAGTCTCGTTTTTCTCGATCGCCTTCATCTCCTCCGGCATCGCCCATCGCCAATTTACATCGCGCTCGGCCAGCGCAAACATGGGTGGTTCCTCAGCACTAACGAGAAGCAGCTCTGGGTCATTAAGCAGCCAACCCGCCAGGCCTGAGGACCCTGTGCCGCCGATGATGTCGTCCAGCCTATGGAACCGCACCCACGAACTCGGTGATGTCGCTTGGAGGTGAGGAGAACTCGATCGGCGTTGATGGAGTCCCCTGTTACGCCGGAGTGGTCGGCATAGCACCTAGAGTGCTCGGCCCCCCGGCTGCAATGCTTGGTACTACTCCTGGACCGCTCGTCACCACTCCTGGAGTGGTTGGCACCACTGCAGGAGTGCTCGATGTCGATCTCACGCTTGAAGCTATCGATGTCCTCCGCACGCGTGCTGATGTCGATCAAGTTGTCCACATATATGCCGACGATGAGCTCCTCCTTCCCCCGTCGCCGCGTGTAGAGCGCGCGTCTGCTTATGCGACCGTGTGAACCCAAGCTCGCCAAAACATGGCATCAAGCTTGGCGTTCCATGCTTGTGGGGCCTACCGTAGCCCGTAGAGCACCTTGCGCAGTCGAAACATCCAGATAGAACATTTGCATCATACGTCTGAAGTCAAATGAAACACTTGAAATATGCGTCTAAAACACTTGCAGAAAAAAACTTGAAAAGTCATTAAAAACATATGAACATCCAGATAAAACACTTGCAACATATGTATGAAACATATGCAACATTTAAATAAACATACTTACAACATACGTCAGGAAAAACAGATGAAACATTTGGAACAAACATTTGCAACGTACGTGTATAGCCATTGCAATATATGCAATATCCTGATCTACTTTTGCAACGTCCATATGAAACACTTGTAACATACTTCTGAAACACTTGGAACATACACTTGTAACATGCGCTTTTACCTTACCCTAGCGCATAAAGTGGGCGGGCGGAGCACTACAGTGGGATCCGGGGCAAGGTCACAAGGAGGATGGAGGAGCCGCGATGCCACGAAGGAAGTGGGGCCTAGGATAGAGATGCGCTCAGGGCCCACTGCGCCGGCACGGGAGGAAGGAGGATGGAGAGATGAGGGCGTGAGGGAGGTGGAGAGTGCGGTGTTGTGGAGCTGTGTGGAGAGGAGCTGGGACGGGACACAGAGGAAGGCCGCCGAGAGCGCCGCCTTGGAGGTCGGCGCGGGCATCGAGGCTACGGTGACGAGAAGAACCGCGCAATGAGTGATTGCATCCATTCCGTTTTTAGATGAACCATGAGGGGGAATAGGCCAGGCTGGTCCACCGGTCTAGGGAGGCACGTTCAGACGGAAGGACGCCCTCATCAGATCCCCTATTTGCTTGGACTTATCAGCCTGACTTATCAGCCATAGTATAATTTTTTTTCTCTCACAACAAATTCGCGAACAATACTTTTCAGCCTGGCTTTTCAGCGAAACGAACAGGTTATCCTATTCCCTGTATATCAGAGAGTGGAGTGTCACACAAATTTTTGGATTTCCTATTGTTGATTAAAATTTGATCTTATTTCTCGTATGGAGAGTGGTCATGCATACGAATCACCGGTATGTCAAGTGTTGGTGGATATAGATCAGTATGAAAATACATCCATTCCATACCGATCAGGT